TGCTAGAATGATACAATCAATGAATCTTAATGAGGAAAATAAACCTCCAAAAGATGCTTTCTGGGCACTACAATTAAGTGGCATTGCAGTGTTTCATATTGCAGGGCTAAGTCTGGGCAGGGAGAAAGGAATCAGGCCAGAGTAGTAAAGTAACATATATCTAAACTGAGGTATTAATATGCGTCAAACAGAATGTGAAAAAAATGGAAAATTTATTATAGGCACAATTAATCAGGGTAGTTATAAACCTTTGCTTTTAGAAGTTTAGTGTGTATCACTCTGCTTGCATGCCTCAGTGTGGAGAAATGCTGAATTCACAGATCAGTTTCAAGAGTTGATAATGCAGTAGATGTTTGATGCCTGGTTTTTTACCAACTCTCTGAGTGAGGTTTTTAAAGATGAAAATGACTGCTTTTGTTAAATGAATAAACATTTTATAATTTTGGCATGTTTGTGTTTTCACAAACTCTCTAATTAAAAATAACAGTATGCCATTAAATTTTTATTAACTGAGATAAACTCAGGCTGCAGGAAATTGGTATTCTATTACAGTTTCAGAAAAGCTAGACTTGTCTGTTCTGGCCTAAGAATGAGAAAGAAAATACAGTCAAACCTTAAATCTCTGCCAGTATTAATTTCTACTATTTTGTACAGAAGATCCATTAATAAGTTTTGAGGTTAGAGTTGAAAACTTAACTGATTGTGATAGTGAATATGGAAATAGCTTTCATTTCAAAATTTATTTGTACTAATCTATTTCTTCCATAGTTTTATTTTGGTGAAATTCTATTTTTCAAGATTATATATCTTAGGGGTGAAATCACAGACATCTCTACTCAATATCTCCTAGATTCTGTTAAAAAGGTGAATTTTCAATAGCAAATGGCACACTAATATTGCACCCTAGTTGAAATGTAGGTAGAATATTGCAATGGAGCAGTAAAGTACAAGGGTTACAGTTATTAGGTATACCTCACTTTCTTTCATGATAAAATAATTCAGTTCAAAAAATTTTGGGGAAGCAGATCTTATTACCATGGCTGATTTATTTAGTACATTCCTCAGGTTATATGACCTCAGATTATTAAATGGCTATCAAACATAACAATGAAATAGCTTAGAAAGAGAGTACTAAAACTAAATATCTACAACTGTTTCACTGGGTATTACAGTAGAACGTCAATAAAAGAAAAAACCCGTGATGTTTATGATGGTTCGTGTGTATTAGATACTCAAGAAGATGCATATATTAAAAAGAATGCGGAAATAAATGCATATATTGCTAAGCTCTGTTAATATTTTGAATGCAAATTCTACCTCTTTGTTCTTGGAAGTGCCATGATAGCTGGAGAATAGCAGAACCAAGCAATGCCAGATACTGTCGCAGGTTTACTGTACCTATAATAAGGCCATTTTGTTTTCTCCCTGTAGTAGATGAAAAAGTTAAGCTTTAATAAATTATCACATGGGTTTGCTCACAGCAGCTTATTCTGTTATGAATTTTGAGATTCTGTGTTCAGTGGTGCGTGGAACTGTTCTTTGGGTCTTTATGCTATATCTGATCTCCCAGCACTGCTCTTATGATTACTTTCTTTTAATAGGAAGCCAGGAAAATACTTATCATAACAAAGCTTAGCAGAACAAATTCAAAGCATCATGTCCAAAACACCATGGGGAAGATGATGGGCTATAAGGGTGTGCATTTTTTAACAGTATTGTCTTAAGTATTCCTTCTACTGGAGAGGATGAGTTTGGGTCTACCTTTTGGTTTTTTTTGTATTAGTAGTTTCTGGAGAAATGTGTCCTCAAGTGGCTGCATTCAAAAGAGTAGCGTCTTTTCTGCTGGCCTTCTGTCGCATTGTCAGAAAAGGGAGATAAAGCATGTAGTAGCATGGTTTAGTGGTGGACTTGCCAGTTTTGGGCCAAAGGTAGGACTTGATGATCTTAAAGGTCTTTTCCAACCTACTTGATTCTGTGATTCTTTCTTCAGGAAAGATGCATGGATGAGAATGCTTTTACATGGTGGGAAAATGGTGGGAAACATGCAGAACTCCTGAACAGAGACCCTTTAATTTGCAGTAGACTTCCCTGAACCTCTCCAAAATTAAAACTCCTGATACCTTTTAATATTTCTTTCTGTGTGAGAGGGCAGGGGTTGGTAAAGTCATTAGTATACAACCTTCAGATCAAAAATTATTCCTTAGTATTTTATTTAATGACTTGCATTTTAAAGGAGCTTGGAAATGTCACTTGTATTAGAAATCTCATGGTTCTAGAAAGAGTAAAAGTTTTATTATGTACTGCCTCAGTGTACAGATTGAAATCAACCTTTTGCATTGCAGTTTTTTGCTTAAAATAGCCTAAGGTGCTGTCAAACAAATGACTTTTTGGTGTATTTTAACCGCCACTCAAACACCACCTTGGTCAAACACAATGTGCATTAGCTTTGTAAACCACCCCACAGTGGTTTAGCTGTTAGTGGAAGAAATCAAAAAATTTAGAGACAAAACCTAACTTTAAAATGTCAAGGAAAAAAAAACAAATTCAGTGTGTTTGTATGTATTTTGTCAGATACATAGTGTTGCAGACCTGTTCTCTTTTTCTGTGGCTCCAGACTCCTTGACTGCAAGGGATGCATTTTTTAATTGTTGAATGAATCATTAATTAGAGCAATTTCTTACATTAAAGAACTGCAAAGAACCCTGGAGAAATCCTTGTTGTTAACCAGAAATCCATGAGTATTTAAAAAAGTTATGTGTGTTCAAGGTATAGTGAAGTAAACAGTGAAGCTGTGTGTGCTATGTATTGCGTATAGCTGTTCCACTTTTAAAATTAGTTTATTTTCTTTGCTCATATTGTAAAGTTCAGAAAGAAAACTCTTAGTACCTCTTGTTGAAAAGGTTCCAGTAAAAAACATGCAGTAATTAAAAGTTGATCATCCTAGAGGGAGTTAGAACAAAAATAATGCTGACTCTTTAACCTAGGGGAACTGTAGTCACTGCATTAAAGAGGGAGGCTTAGATTCAGTCCCTAGATGTTTAACAAAGTATTGGAGCAAGGCTGATTAAAAAATAGGGCAGCTGCATTCGGTAGGATCAAATGCACTTCCCCATTGGAGTTTGCAGTGCTTAGGGTATGCTCCTGGGGAGATGTGGGAACTGAACCTAGCTTTCCCATCCTGGGTGGATTTTGCAGGCACACAGCCATGGGCGCTGACTGTTATGGGATTGCAGAAATCCAGCATGCTATGGTGCTGAAAATAGAGAATCGGTACATTTGGGGATCAAGACTTAAACACTGCAATTCCTTATTTACAGTCACGATATTTACAATGAAACTGGAAACCATGTGCACACATATGGAAGGAGAGCAAAGAAAGTAGAAAAGGCTTGGGATTCCAGGTGGGCATTCTCACGTTCTAAACTATTGATCTAAGAGCTGTTGAGCTCATCATATTCCTTTTCACCACAGTGTTATTAGTTTCAGTAATGTAAATTAATGGAAATTGTGTAGTTCAGTGCTATGCATGAAATTCCTCTTGGCAGGCACTAACTGCTGTGTGTGTGTGTTTAAGATTTAGGTCTTGCTTTATTTAACAAGGAAGTTCAGCGCTTGCCAACCTACTTAGCAAGTGCTTAGCATATTTAAGTTCTTAGAGTTAAGGCCATGTGAGTGTTTGCCTGATTAAATCAGAAGTTTTCCATTTTTATGATAATTGTTGTAAGGTGGCTTGAGGCTTGAGCTAAGAGAAAGTTACTTCATCATTTTTTGTGCACGACAAGTTCTTCCTGGGTAGCTCTTATTATGCATGTAGTGGCTGTTTTGTTATTACATGATAACTACATGACAGATGTAATTACAATAACTCTTTTCTATCTATACTACAAACTGTCATGTCCTAATTTCCTAGATTAGGACATAGCACTGAGGCAGGAAAAATCACAAGGGATGAAAGGATAAAAAGTGAAAAGGGTAGCAAAGCCAGAATAGTTTTTCTTCTTCCCAATTACATAGCTAATTATCTGGGGTCCAGATAACGCAGGTTCTTGTTTATAACTGTAGTATCTCTTAAAATAAATTAAAATACTACCACTGAGGCCTTTCAAAACTGAGACTTAATTCAGTCTTAAATGGCAAAAGCTCCAGCAGGTTTGGAAAGAGGCTCTTAAAATCCTTCTGATTTGGCTGCTTTGGTGTTTTTTTTTTATAGATGCCTTCCATACTTAACTAAGAACTCTTATTTTTTAAATTTCTGTCTCCTGTTTGCCACAATATTTACCAATTAAAGGGTTATCATAGCTCTTAATTTGCATAAAATTGCAGGTACCTTGAGCAAAATGGAATTTAATATGCGGAATACATGACATCAATATGAAAAGCTGCAGAGCTAAGTTTTCTCAGGCAGTAGGGGTGCCTCTACTCAGGCTATAGAAAGTTTGGTCTTGGGAAAGTATTTTTCTGAATTCAAGCTGAGGTCTCCCTGCTGGTTTGACTTTACTACCATTTTATAATATTAAACATAAAATAAAATCCAACTCCTTTTATTGCCCAAACAAGCTTCCATTACCTTCCCACCTCTTTTTTTTTTTTTTTATATATTTTCTTCCTTTCAAAAGATGCGCTGTATGCCGGTAAGCTTTATGGTCTGGGTATTTTTAAATACGCTTTTCCTGTATTTGTGTTCCTACTGAGTTAGAGCTTTGTCATATGTAGAAAAATGTGCCTAACTTAAAAATCATATTTTAATATTTCAAAGTTGAAGTTTTTCCCCAGCTGTTTCTATTAGGATTATATTAGAGTTTCCTGCTTTGTCATGTGGGCATCTAGCTGGAAAATGGTAGGATGTGATCTTGACTAAGACAAGAATATTACAAAGGCTTAAATGAGCACGAAGCGTTTATACTCCTGAAAATAAACAAGACCAGCATAACTGAAAGGTGAATCAAGCTCATCATGAACTGAAATCCAGCCTTGTACATTTTATTTCTTTCTCTACACAGGAAAACAACACAAAAGATGAAGAAAAAGACAGTCTCATGTTATTAAGGTAGGATGAAAGCACCTGTTATTTAACTGCTTCGTGGAAACTCTTGTTATCTCACTACCAATCTGTATAATATATTTCTATAATGTAATGATGGTTGATTTGTTGGAGGAATAACCTAAAAAGTGAAACTTCTCAAAGTCTTAATGTTGATGTATATCAGCAGTAGACAGATAAATGGAGGTGTAGCAGGCCAGTGTCACCAGTTGATCCTCACACAAATGTATCTTTGATTCTCGTGTGGATTGTTCGTTGTTTTTGTTTGATTGTTTTTTTTTCAGTATTCCTCCAGTTTTTTATTCTGCCTATATGTACTTACATCATGGGTCACATGTTGGTATTTCCTAAGCTGCAAGGATGAACTTCCTAGTTTCAGGAAGTGTTTCATGGGTTTGCACTGGTGTGGTATTGCAGCAGTTTTCAGAGATAAAATTGGAGTAAATACAGAATAACTGAACAACTGTGTGCGTTTACTTTTGGGAAAGGGAGGGACCTGGCAGTGAATTCAGTATCTTGAAAGCTTCTTTTTGAGAGGAGTGGGGTGTACAAAGACTGTGATCATGCAGATGGTTATCTTTTCTGAAGAAAGAAAACCTGATGCCTAAACAGAGCTGAAATCTTTTGCTGTGTTTCTGTCACAAAGACTTTGCTTTTATGAGACTTGTGTTTATCTAAGGAAACAGTATTATGATATGACCCAAGACTAGATTTCCTTGCATAATTTCTCCAGCATTTGACTTGTCTGACCACAGGACAATAGTTTAGCCTGGAAATTTCTTAAAGGAATATTTTTACTCATAAGACTTAAAAACCCCCAGTAATGCTTTCCCATCCCCATTTGCATTTTGGAGTGGAAATGCATGGACTAGGCTAACAGCCACTGGAAAATTGTGGTACACATTCCAGTCTTTTAGATTTTGTGAGTTTTGTTCTGAGATTCAACTGAAAAAACATAATTGAGGCCAAGTTTATTGCGCTCTGCTGTGATAAAACCGAAAAGGAAAAGATGTTATGGTTCAGAGCAACTTCAAGTATTTCCCAGGTATTTTGTAATGCTAGACACTGCTGAAGTATTCCACTTAATATTCTACTTGCTTTACTAGAAATGCAGAAGATTAATAAACCACATTAGTTACGATATAGCTTTCTCAGAAAACAAGGAAATATAACTCTAGGTTTTAGACAAAGCTATTGAAGCAGAGGCAAGCTGGCATTTCCCAAAAGCTAATCAAATACTAGTAGAGCAATAAGGGAGTAGAGCAATAAACCATTTGGGAGACAAAAGTCAAGGGAGAAGATTTCAAAAGATACTATCTCTGTTTGCCAGATAGTACCTCCCAGTGTTGAGCTTCTATCATCATATTATTAAGTGCTGTTGAAATAATAATTTCTTCTGTGAGAGGGTAACTTCTAAATCATACTGATTGTTTAGGTATGGTGGAGGACTTGCATGTTGTTCTAATTCATTTCTGGATCTGAGGTACAGTAGTGGGTTCAGTAGTTAATAGGAATTCTGGGTATTTTTTTCTGTATTTTTGAACAGCTGTTTTTTTTCTTGTACTGAATTTATGTCCTTCTTATGCTACACAGTTTCTATCTTGAGTTTATGCCATAAATTCTGGATTAAAAAAAAAAAGTCTCATCCTCAAACACTTTTTTTGTGAATCCAACTGCTATGAATTTTTCTTGCTATCTGAAATTTCTGCAGAAAATTCAAACCTAATTTATGTATCCTTACGACAGCCAGATTTGCATTTTTCAGAGAACTTGACGTTCACTGTTCAGTAGTGTTCATTATTTCGCAACCAACGTCTGTTGATTAGCAAAAGGCAATTTTTTTTTCAGGAAATGAACTTGAATAGACCTGTCTTAGAAGCAGGTGTGAACTTCCTCACTTGTTTGTTTTCAGTTAAACAAAACTAAGCAAATGCTGCTGGTAAATTTCCACTCTGTAACCCCAGCTGTTTGTTACTGTCACTCTGTTGGGGTGAAAATGCATAGTAATTTGTTTCTGGTGAAATAGGATGTTCTGACCATTTAACCATTTATTTTGAGTTAGTGTGGCACATTCTTGTCTGAGAAGGGAATGGAGCACCTGCATGAAGTGACCTGATCTTCAGCAAGCAGGGGCAGTACTTGCGTTGAGCTACATTGTTGGTGTAGAAAAGTTATCTGATGCCACAAGAAGGTTGCTTCTGAAACCAACTCTTAGATGTGACACTCTGCCACCCAAAAGATGTGTACTGCGCAAATACTTATGAAATAAATATGTAGAAGAGAGACATAGCCTCAATCTGCTGTGATGGATTCAGTGTTGTAATTAAGTAACCTGCTGGATGTACTTTGAAGCTTACTGATTCTGAAGTGTTGGTGTTTGTTATCTTAAAATCACCCTTTTGTTAAGTCTAAGCACAATTGAGTGCTGCCCCATTTCTCAGTTAATCCATCAGTAAATAAAGGTGTTATCAAGAGCACATGACTGTGAAAGGACAGTAAATTTACTTTAGCTTTCCAAAACTCATGACTAGCTCTGAATTGGGAGCAAGACTAATTACCATGCACCTACCTTCATATCACTGACATTAAAGATTTTTTTTTTTGGCTTTTAGTATGCCTATGCGGTGTTGCTAGTTTCTTCTATAATGTAAGCAGTCTTAAACAAAATAGGATGATACTTCACTTTTTCAGTTACTGCCTATTTTCTATCCTGTGCTTTTATATTCTGGAACTAAAACTTGTCCTGGTAACTTAACTTTCATCAAATCCCTTTCATCATGGAAAAGTGAGGATGACTCGCATTTTAGATTAGCAAACTACAGACTTTTGTTACTAATTTTTCTACCATTTTTTTTTTGTAACAAGAGTGGTCTTTAATTTAGCTGATTTAGTGTTATGCCCATTTAACCTAAATCAATATGGTTGAATAAGATAACTATTAGCTGATTTTCTGTTTTGTTTCACAGAGGCTTAACTTAATTGCATATACAAATCTGTCATCTTGGGAATCTGATATAGAGAAATGTGTTTGATAGATGTCTATCAGTAGGCCTAGCCAGGCAGTTTTAATCCCTTTAAATTAAGGGCAAATAAAAGTGTCTGTCATGGGGGAGAGACTACTAGCATGTGTAGGAATCTAGGAATGCTGCAGGATATTTTTTTTGGAGGGAACAGTTAATTACAGCAGATTCATTTTTGGGTTTTTTTTGTTACTTCTTTTCATGTAAAAGATATGTATAAAATCCAATCAGATTTACCAACTCTGATGGCTAAATTCAAGGATAGCTGCAGGAACAGCCTGTGGTGTAGCAAACTGTAACCAGGCTGTTGTCACTAACTTGAATGGACATGATGCTAAATACACAAATGGCATTGTTGTTGTTATGGGAAACAGGTCTTTTGTCCTGTCTAACTCCATTACACACCTCCCAATGCCAATAAAATCTGTTGTCTTTTATTTTGAAAAAGATGTGCAACGTAACTGGAAAGTTTAGAGTGTAAAATATTAGCAATATAAAACTGACATACCTTGTCTTAACTGTGAAGAAAATTTTGTCAGAAACTGTCTAGAGATTAACAAAGCAGGAAGTCCTCTAAGAAAAATTTGGAGTGGATGGAGTGATGCTGATGTTTCACTTCCCTCCTTCACTCTCCTAATATGCTTTTTATAAAATATGCAAATACAATGGCAATTAATAGTGAAGATCAAAGACGTCCAAACAGATGAGCAGACTTTCCAAAGTTATCTTTTTCTCTGATCAGATTTTCTGGGGAGTACACTTGATATTTTAAGCTGCATATTTATTCTTGATTCAGAAAAGTTGGCCAGGACTTGGAAATCTGTGGCTGCACAGTAGGCTTGAGATACCAGTTCTTCTTGCAGTTCATTAGACTTGCTTTTTGGTGTTTGGTTTGGTTCTGTTTTTTTTTTCCTCATGTACAAAATATAGGAAATAGAAAATTTGGTTTTTATATTTTCTTGGTAGCGAGGTTGATGATGAAGACCTATTAATAAGCAAATGCTTTTGGCTTCTCTTTAGGCTTCCAAATACACTTTACGTATAATATACAAATACACTTTACACAGTCCTGGTCTAATGGGCAGGTCCCCAAGGATTGGAGGTTGGCTAACATGACTTGTCTCTATGAAAAGGGCAGGAAGGTATGCTGAGAACTACAGGCCTGTGAGCCTGACCTCAGTGCTGGGGAAGGCCATGGAGCACATGATCCTAAGTGAGATCACAAAGTATGCAGAGAAAAACAGAGGCATCAGGGCCAGTCAGCATGGGTTCATGAGGGGCAGGTCCTGCTTGACCAAGCTGATCTCCTATGATAAGGTGACCTGCCTGTGGACATTGTCTGTTTGTACTTTAGTAAAGTATTTGACATTGTCTCACACAGCAGCCTCCTTGAGCAACTGGCTGCTTATGGCCTGGATAGGTGTATTCTTCACTGGGTTGAAAACTGGATGGGTGGCAGAGCCCAAAGAATGGTGGTAAATTGTGTCACATTTGGTTGGCGACCTGTCATTAGTAGTGTCCCTCAGGGCTTGGTATTACAGCCAGTGTTGTTTAATATCTTCATTGATGATCTGGACGAAGGGATCAAGTGCACCCTCAGTAGATTTGTGGACAACACCATGTTGGGTGGGAGTGTTGATCTGCTGAAGGATAGGAAGCCTCTGAAGAGGCATCTGGACAGGCTGGATCAATGAGCTGTGGCCAATGGTATGTTCAGCAAGGTAAAGTGCTGGGTCCTGCATATGGGCCACAACAAACCCATGCAATGCCGCAGGCTTGGGGAAGAGTGGCTGGAAAGCTGCTCGGTGGAAAAGGACCTGGGGATGCTGATGTTCATGGCTGAACATGAGCTAGCTTGTACCCAGGTGGACAAGAAGGCCAGCGGTAGCCTGGCCTGAATCAGAAATAGTGTGTCCAGCAAGACCAGGGCAGTGATCGTCCCCCTGTACTGGGCACTGGTGAAGCCGCACCTCAAATACTGTGTTC